TTTGTTTACGCGCTGGATCACGCCACTTTGCCGTTGCCTGTATTGCACATGCTGTGTGTTTGTTGCTGTGTTGATTTGCATCTAAATTGTTAGGTACAGTGACCAACAGTTGATAAATAAAATTTTGCAGATTAGTTTTTTTTTTTTTTTTTTTTTTTGTATTCAAGATTAAGTGTGTAATATGTACAAATAATAATTTCCCTTCATACAAATTTTCTTGATTATTTTTCTGAAATTTTTCCCTCAAGAATTTTTTTCCCCTTAATTTTCCGCTCGCAAACTGTTCGTAAAATTTTCCTGAGTTTTCTAGGTTTTCTTTCAAAATTGCATTTTCTTGAAAAGTTGTTTTCTTACATAACGATTTCTCTCAAAGTATTTTTCTTAAAATTTCATTCCTCATAAAATTTTCCTCAAATTTTTTTTTTTTAATATATTCCGAAAAAAATCCTTAACATTTTTGCCTTAAAGAGCTTTTCCTTTTTTTTCATTTTTTCATTCTGCCTTAAAATTTCCTTAAAAAAAATTTTTTTTTTTTCCTAAGACTTCGAAATTTTGATTTTGTTCTTTTTTCTATTTCCCTGAGATGATTCGGTTCTTTCATATTTTCCTGGTTTGTTTTTTTTTTCTTCAATTTCATTCCTCATAAGTTTTTTTTTTCCTTCAGAATTTTCTCTAAGGCTTCAAAATTTTTCTAATTTTTTTTTATTTTTTTTATTTTTTATTTTTATTTTTATTTTTTTAAACATATATTCTTCTTTCTTTTTTTTCTATAGCATTTCCTACACAAATTTCCCTCTCATATATCGTTTGCCCTCTGTAATTCTTCTCTGCAATCTTCCTCAAGTTTGTTTGTTTATCTACCCCTTTCCTCCCAAAACTTCTCTTAATTATTTTTCCTTCCTGCGTCTCTGTGCCTTTGTTTCGGTTCTTCGTATTTTCGCTGGGGGGTTATTTGCTGCTTCCGGGAAGTTCGTCTCCCCTCTCGTAAAAAGCCTTTACTTCGCTTATGTGGGCTGTCCTCGTCTTTCCGTGTCTTTCCACCTCCACTATAACTGGTGAAGGGAAGTTTCTTACCATGTACGGCCCGCTATATTTCGGGCCAACTTTGCCGCAAAGTTTTCTACTGCCGTAGATTGTGGGTGCTCTCTAAGTAGCACCAGATCGCCTATAGTTGGTCTCCATTGCCTCCTCCGTAGGTTATAGTGCCGTGCTTGTTCCGCTGATGCCCGCTGTTGGTTTTGGCGCACTAGACTGAATACTTCCTTTAGTGTTGCGGCCTTCTCGTTCGGCGTCGTTGAGTTCTGCCCCGTGCCGAACGTGGTCTTATCGTAGACTGCCCTTGGGAGTCTCGGCTCGCGTCCTTGTGTTAGGAATGCCGGGCTGTAGCCGGTGGAATCGCATACGCTAGTATTCAGTGCTAGCATAATTTCGGGTAGCAGGTCGTCCCAGTTCCGTTGTTGCTCGCCTGTTAATTGTGCTATGATCCGTTTTACGCTACGGTTCGTTCTCTCTGTCGGGTTTTCCTGTGGGGTATAAGGAGCAGTGAATTGATGCTTCACCCCATATTGCTCAAAAAACCGCTTGAACGCTCGACTGGTGAATTGCGCTCCGTTATCCGTCACCAGAACTTTCGGAACGCCGAATCGCGCGAGGATTCGCTCCCGGAAAGACTTACTCAGGCCCTCTGTCGTCGCTTTCCGGAGTGGTACAATCTCTACCCATTTAGAGAATTTGTCATTGAATACGAGTATCATTGTGTTGCCGTGTTTTGATCGCGGCAGCGGCCCGATGAAGTCGGCGCATAAAATAGCCCAAGGTTCGTCCGCAAGTTGGGTCAACATCTTCCCCGCGGCTTGCTGCTGGTTAGGTTTGTAAATCTGGCACGACTGACACGTATTTCCGCACATCACGGAACATGCCTGGCCAGTAGTATCGTGCGGTAGCTCTTGCGATAGTCTTTCGTATGCCCATGTGGCCAGCACTTGGTTTGTCGTGGACTTCGCGTAGCACCCTCTCCCGCAGATTCTTGGCTACGCACAACTTCCACGGGATGGAGCCTTCGCCATCCGCGTAGGCAGGGAGGTGCCGATATAGTTTTCCGTCTTCCACAGTGTAGTTTGGAAATTTAATGGGGTTAGCCCTTACTTCCCTAATCTTCTCCTCCAGCCATTTGCAGGGTCCTTCCGTCTGGCACTCTTGGGTAATGATTACCAGTTGCTCCCCTTGGGGCTCTCGTGAGAGAGCGTCCGCAATTACGTTCAGCTTTCCTTTTCTATACTTTATCACGTTCGCGTTTAACCACTTTAGAGATAAGTGGTCCGTTATCACCGTAAACGCGTACCCCTCCAGGTACGGCCTCATTTTCCGAATCGCCCACACGATGGCTAGGCATTCTTTCTCTGTCGGCGAGTAGTTGTATTCCGCCTTGTTAAGGTGGCGGCTGGCATAGGAGATCACTCGCTCGTCTCCATCGATTTCTTGGGTGAGCACTGCCCCCAAGCCATAGTCACTGGCGTCTGTCTGCAGTATGAACCTCTTCGTAAAGTCAGGGCACGCCAGTACTGGGGTTTCTGTGAGTGCCCTTTTCAGGTCTTCGAAAGCAACCTGTTGCTCATGCGACCACTGAAA